ATCGACCTGTCTACCATCGCCCTCTCCATAACACGGCACAAAACTAATGAGATCGTTAGCCACCGTCTCGCCACCTCTAAATACCGAGCCACGCCGATTTTCCATGGAATCGGTTAATCTCGCGGATTATATGATCACGTGTTAATTGAGGGACGCGCGATTCATTTCGGGTGGGTTGATCATCGGGAAGGGAAAAACATTTTTTCCCCAACCCTTTGATCACATCACAGCCCTCCCCTCCCCTCTCGATTACAGGCTGCTTTCATCGGTTAATATCGGCGTCTGGCGTCTGTGATCCTTTTATCAGAGCTTGGAATACGTCTCTCTCTTTTTTTTTTTTTCTTCTGTTTTCAACTCGGTGTCTGTCAATTTGTTAATTCGTTCCATGCAATGGGCGATGTAATATCGTCGCGGATATAATTGTTGTAGATATAGGATAAATTTATTTTATTATTTTTTTTTTAAAATCTAATTTTTAAGGAAATCCTTACGCGGCGAATAATCTTGTTATAATTTATAGGGAAGTTAGGTTAATTTGTTAAAGTTATATTTTTGTATATATCGTCGAAAATATAATTGTTATTGAATATAGAATAAATTTATTTTTATATTACGTTTTTTTTCTTTTCTATTTTTGTTAACAAATTTTATTGACATGCTTTTTTAAAAGAAAGAGGAATCATTATTTATATTGCGAGTAATTTATAGGAAAGTTATATTGATTTGTTATATTAAAATTAAAATTTTTCACTCATCCAATCATCGATACTTCAAATTTGTTGACGGACGAGAAATGAGAAGTTTAAAAACTTCGAACAAACAATTAAATTGGAAAGGGGGAATGAATAAACACGATGAAAAGCTTCGAAAGCAACGAGTTAAAAGATACACGGAAAAACCTACTTTCACGAAAAATATATAAAAATAAAATTCGCCGCTTTACTTAGAAAAAAAAAAAAAAGAAAGAAAAACGTTTCAAATTTTTTAAAACGATCCATTTAAAAATTATGAAAATTATTTCCATTGTTTCGCTTCGCGGGAAAATATGAAATAGCTTTATCTCAACCATGTTTTCCACCATGTTGCAATAGGAAAGATACATTTATTCCCTCCCCCCCGTATATTATAAAATCATTCTATCGTCGACGACGCGATATTTTATAATTACGAATATATTCGAGGGCAAACAAATCCCGCTAAAAAGCACGCTGATGGAATCGGGAATATTACTTTCAGCGAAATGGCGCCATTGCATTATGAACAAACGTGCGAACAAAAACGCGAATCAATGGATAAACACAATTCGCCGATACCTTCGAATTAATAAAATCGATCGCAGCCTTTTCCAACCTCTGAAATCATTAACGATCCACTGATATAAAGATCGACGAGCGTGTTTCACGTATTTTCGGTTTTTACGACGGTTACACCGACGAGAAAAGGAATTGGTCGGGCGAAATTGCGAGAGATATGGAAAACTCCTTCTCGATAAAACTCCAAGTCTGCTAATTTCGACGTTTGCCCCAATATTTACCCCCTTTTTCATTCAAGTGTCTGTATTTATCGTTGCCGCTTCGATCACGACGTGATCACACCTTTTTGAGTTCTCGTATTGGCCGTCGGATGATCTTTGCGAGATGGCATGGAATTATCGTTTCAGTTGGTTTTTCAACAGATATTATTGTGAAATTTTTGGATGGCAATGAAGATTTATTCTTAAATAGGGATTTAACAATTTACAATTTGCAATTCTTATCTTGTGAAGGAAGTTTGTTGGTTTTATATATTTGTAAAGATTATTGTCTTTTTTTGAAAAATTATATGACAATGAAATTTTGATTACGATTAAAATTGAAATTCTAATATTTGTATTTTGCAATTTTTCTTTTTTGTTACTATTATAAAATTTTTGGAAAAATAGAGTTTAAGAAACTTTTGATTAGCTATTCCCAATTATTTGAAATTTCTAATTTTAGGAAAACCGAGTTCGAGAATTCGATAGATTTTAATCTTCAGCATTTCCACTTCATTATCATTCGAAATTTTCTTAATTTTCTACTTAAGAAAACATTACCATAAGATTTTAGGAGAAACAGATACGAAAGTCGAGCTAAGGGTAAAATCTTGGATCAATTATTCAATAATTCGATATGATGTACTATTTTTACCACCGATCGATTTTCGATTTTAAAAAAATTTCACGAGAAATCGACAGATAAAGTCCGGTCAGGTCGGTCTATAAATTTCTCGTACGCGTTTCAAAAATGTAACAAGAAAAATTGAATTTATAGGTTGCACCATTCTACATTTTATAATCTTCCGTAATTCCTTATTGTTGTAATAAACTTGCGAACAATTCGCATAATACACGAGAGAATAAATTTGACGATGCGACAATGAAAATTTGTTGCAAATCCTATTAAACTTATTATTTCACCGTTGCCACGAAAAATTGAAATAAAAGTGTGGAATAAAAATTTCATACTTTTTTTTTCAAAAATAATCTGAATATCGGATTGAATTTTTATGAAAAAAAAAAAAAAAAAAA